TTAACTAGACCAGACATATGCTATGTCATTCAGAATCTCAGTCAATACATGGAAGCCCCCTCTTTTACACACCTAGCAGCGGCTCATAAAGTGATCAGATACCTCAAGCTAGCACTAGGACAAGGCCTCATCTTTCCTTCATCGTCCTCATTAACTCTTCGAGCATTCTGTGACTCTAATTGGGCTGTTTGTCTTGATTCACGAAGATCTGTCACAGGTTATTGCATTTTCCTTGGGGAGTCACTAGTCTCTTGGAAATCAAAAAAGCAAAATGTGGTATCTCAATCATCAGCTGAATCAGAATACCGATCAATGGCCAGTACCTGCTGTGAAATCACTTGGCTAAAGTATATACTAGAAGACCTCCAAGTTCATCATCCTCAGCTAGTTAGCTTGTACTGTGACAACCAAGCAGCGTTGCACATTGCTTCCAACCCAGTGTTTCACAAAAGGACTAAACACATCGATCTGGACTGCCACCTAATTAGAGATCAGATTGAGGCTGGGCACATTTCCACATCCTATGTTCATACTCAGTCACAACTTGCAGATATATTCACCAAGGCCCTCTCTTCAATCACTTTAAGGTCTCATCTATCGAAGATGGGAATTGAAAACATCTATTCTCCATCTTGAAGGGGGCTGTTAAAATAGAGATAATAGAGCACACTCATCAGCAATCTACCTATCAACCTTACCGTGAGCAATGGAGTAGACTATCAACCTGATATGTACAAACATCATAAGGCAGGGCACGTATTAGCTCCAGGTGTAGAGCCAGCTGTATAAATTGCACATGGTTAGGTAGAACAATATTCCTTTCTTGTTATATAGTTTGTTAGAGTCATCCTTTACCTTTTTACCCCCTTGTATAGCTTATATATTTACCTCTTGTATTTAGATTTTATATATGAAATGATTCACTGATTCAATCCATTTATCAGTGTTCTTCATCATCATTTCCGTTTTAAATTCTTTCAAGTACCTAGTTTCTCATTTATCAAAATAACACAAGTACCCCGCGGAAGAAGTTAATGTCTGACAAATAGCATGTTTGGCACCTCATCAGCCATACCGATCTCTCGGCTTTCGCCGTATCGACGATGATGCTACTGTAACTATGAGAATCCTCCATTTTTTGTTTTCTGAGGTTATTTTCTGAAGTTGGGGGTTCTGAAAATCATTCTCCCCATATAAAGCATCATAATGTCTTCAGAGAATGGTTGGAGAAAAAAATAGAAACGAGAGAAGAAAGGGAAGTCTTGCAATCAAAGCTGCTGCACCTCATTCACCTTCTTGTTCTACAAATTTTCATTTTCATTCTTCTACTCATTTTCAATCACAAATTTAAATATTTTCAATCACATCAATAATTTTTTTTTTCAACCATACACTTTCAATCAATCTACTATTCCAAAATACATTTTTCCAAAAAATATGACTCAAACACACCATTAAGGGTGTGTTCGATCCACATTATTTTGGAAGACTGTATT